CAGGTAACTCGCTCGTCATAAGTAGCCCCCTACCTGCTTTCTACAGGAGGAAGCAAGGGGACATTAGGGTGCCCCTTATTTTTTAATTAAAGGGACACTATAGTCACCAAAACAACTTTAGTTTAATAAAGCATCTACACCTTTTCTGGTGTGACTGACCCAGCCTGCATTGAAAAAAAAATGATGATTTCACTTTCAATCAGATGTCAAATTACATCAAGTTTACTTTATTTTTTGTGATTAAAAGTTCAATTTAAAGAGCAGGAGATAAGAAAAATGCACAGGTGGCTCCTGCAAGGTGTCGCAAGCTATTAACAGTGCAGCAGAAAATACATTCTAAATTAAACAGACTTCACAATAAAGGAAGTTTAAATATTAGATTTAATTGTACAGGAAGTGTTTAGGAAGGCTCTGCATTACATGCAGGGAGGTGTGACTAGGACTGTATAAACAAAGTGATTTAACTCCTAAATGGCAGAGAATTGGACAGTGAGACTGCAGGGGCATGATTTATACACCAAATCTGCTTCACTAAGCTTTAAGTTTCTTTTTAGTTCCTTTTATTTGCCCTCGCCAGCTACTGGGAGTAGGGGAGTGGGGGAAAGTGTCCACCCACCATTATTTAATTAATGCCACTTCATCAGGTCCAACTCCCTGTTATTTAGTAATGACTGTTCAAGTCATTAGTTTTATGATACAGTGAGCGGATATGCCCCAACAGCATGACCGGTTTTAAACCTACCTTATACTAATATTGCATTTATGAATTTAAAAAACACCCTTGCACTGCTAGTGCTGTCAGTGGGCAAATAGTTTGGATTTTTAATTCAGGTCTGCATTTCAGCTGTCTAGCAGTGTTTCAGTCTGGCTGAAATTCTGACCATATTCCCGCTTTTTTGAGCCTGCTCTGCAAAATCTGAACGATGTCCGGAGTTTGCAGTTCGTATGACCACGTACAGTGTCAGATGATTTTGTCGCATTGGGTACAGGGCCATTCAGACTGAAGTTAATTACTTGGCTTGTTTCATGGTTATCTGCAGAAGATCCTTTACTTTTGCTTTATCATGGTCTTATATCAGCTAAGCTAGATAACCCGATTTGTCTATCAAGCTTCCTCCATTTCTCGGTCTCTTCCTGTCCTCACTCTGTGTCCTTCTAGTTAAGTTAGATTTTTTTTTTCTGCTTTTACTGCATTATAGATATTCTGATAAGGATTGGTGCATGGAAGTGATAACATCCGTTCTTTATCGGCCTAGCGGATTCATGTTGTCTCTACTACCCAGCAGAGTAGGATTTAAATTCTAAATTGCCAAAGGCAAGAAACCAAAATGTGTCCCCCCCCTACTGCTTACAGTCTCCCCACCTCCCACTCGATTTTATTCCTTTCATTAATCTGTAACTTGAAACATTGCAAAATAGAAAAGAAATTCCTGAATCAAAGGATAGTATATGATAAATGGTGAACATTTTCTATAACTCAACAGTAAAGATCACTAATGCCCTTGAACCTAAATCGTTATTTGCGAAAGGGGCTCAGAAGAAGAATTTCACAAGCACATTTCATATTTGCCAGGGTTATTTGCTAAACTGTGAATTGTCAGGAGTTCCAAATGAATTGAACAATTTTTAAACCCAAAATAGCTGAACTGCGAACAGTTAACTTGGACAATATCACATATCGCTTGAAATACATGACAATTCACAGTTTATTGAATAACCTAAATCACTGTCCAGAAAAACAAGCAAATAAATTATTTTTTACTGGCTTTTCATTATGATGACAAAAAAAAATGGAGACATTTAATAGCAGCAAATGTGCTGGTTAAGACATATCAAAGTACGTTCTGTGACCAGTAAGCACCTATTTAGAAGTAACAAAAAAAAGAATAATTTAAAAAAAAAATTACTTTGATCGCTTTCTTCAAGAATAAGCATTTTTAAAGCAGTTACTTGCTTTTCCTGCCTCTACAGCATAAATGAAAACACCAGGCACTGAACAAGATGTGCAGAGTTCTAAAACCATTTCAAGAGAACAGGAACTATATTATATTATCTCTATTATGTCACCATGCCTACCCTTAACCCGTGACATTTTCATGTTTAAATTAAGGCATGGTTAGAGTTGGCAAACTAGTTAATTCGGTTAATAGTGCAAGAAGTTCCCTTATCTGCCATGCATTTCCATAATTCTCAATTCTCAAGTCTCCCAAGTGTGGTTGGATCCTCCAGAACATGTGCCCAATCAGTGAATAAGATCATATGCACTTGCGCCGTGTAACGTCAGGAGAACGGCGTTGGGCTGGCAGCCTGCTGTGCCTACACTGCAGGTGCATATTTTATAAGCAGATCTGCCTCCTTTAGACAGACCTGCTCATTGCTAACACTCCCGTCCAGCCCACCCATCTTCTATATCTCCTGCTGTTAACAGGTAAGAATTTGATTTCTAAAAATTGCAGAGAACTGTAATAAAAATACCCCATAAACAGACTATTACAAGGTAAAGCTTCTGTTAGCATCATGGGGAATGTAGTTCACAAGTATTATGGTGCCACAGACAATAGCTGGCAAAGGATCATGGGAAATTGTGTCAAAGTTAAGTATCCCTACTGTCGTGCATAAGCAAGCAGATATGGGTTAAAACAAAAAATGGCTCTCAACAAACAACCAGATATCCCCGAAGAGAAACAGACGCCTCAGCCCAGGGCTTAATGGTGACCTTATTACTCAGAACAGAATGAGAGCAGTAATTTGGTCCTCCGGAAGCTGTTCGATGGGACACGCAAATTAACACAGGCAGAACCAGGGCGGGAAATGCTTGCAGAAACAAATAGCAACCGGGTGTCAATGCAGCTGCTAATTAAAATCTGCAGTCAATTAACTCCCTGAACAAAGCCTACAACAGCTACCCAGTCAAATCCACTGCCCTTGTGGGACAAAATCGTGCTTCCCTTGCAAGGATAGTAACGGTTTCATTACACGCTCGCCGCACAGAATCCTTCATCCTGATAAAGCCAAGCTTGGTCGAAACTTCCTGCTGAAATTCTGGAGGGTCTCTCTGCATGCATAATATATTCCTGCAAATTGCCAGAATTGAGTTCTACAGCTTTAGGAAATGTCTGTCTGCAACCCCCTCCTCACCATATCATCTTCCAGAATCCCCTGAACTTAGAGAGTGGTTCAATTTAGCTGGGTACCAGCAAATGCACGGAGTGCCTATAAAACAAGTCTAACAGTACATCTACCACATTGAATTGCTCATGTCTTCTGGACACTGCAGAGAGTATGAGGTTTGATTACAAAGTGCTCAATAATGGCTCATAATCAAGCAGTCATTAAAGATATCACTACATAAAGTTAAGACTGTCAGATAGAATCCTTCATATAGCTTTAGACTTACCTTTCGGCAGGACTATCCGGCTCAATGAACCTTATTAACGGAGGAGAAGACAAGGTCTCTGTGGCAAAGATTCCTCCCTGCAGCTGAATCCCAAAGCCATTTAAAGGGTCTCCCCGAAGGACAATCTCTGTGCTCTCTGTGTGTATGATCTGACCACCAGGGCCCACTGTACTGGAAGCCAACGACACTGGTAAAAAAAAAAACAGCATCAGTACACTGAATTTGCCCCTCTTGATAGTTTCATATTATATACATTTGAGTGTGGTTACAGTTTACATGGCTCACTGACAAAATTAGTTAGACTGAGATAAACCAAAAATGAAAACCGTATATGGATGACGATCAATGCTGGGAACTCTACAGTACGCAGCTGGACATTAATTTTTTTTTTTTTAATCTCTCTGGGTCTCATAGAACAGAATTAGACAAATGCTGTGGGCTTTATAGTTCATGAATGAGGCAAGCTATTGGTGCCTCTTTCCCATCTTACAGGAACTTTTGTGGTCCTTCCTCCTCTGTCGCCTCCTAGTCATGGTAGTCCGTGGGCTCATCTGATGTGCAGTGCGTGGGAGGGTGTTGGAATTCTGACTGCTGAATCCTGGAGTCCCCGCGGATGAAGAGGAGGAGAAGTTAGCAGCAACCAAAGCTGAAAAGTTACAAACAGCAGAACAATAAATGACTAGAACAGATCTAAAGTCACAGTATTCTCCAAAATATCCTCCCATCCCCCCTGAAACCCAACCAAACTCTTAAACTCTTCAAGTGAGCTGTAACAATTTCAAGTTAGTCTGGAAGCAGATTTTATAGTCACCAGAACAACTACAGCTTATTGGATTTGTTCTGGTGAGTAGAATCATTACCTTCAGGCTTTTTGCTGTGAACACTGTCTTTTCAGAGAAAATGCAGTGTTTACATTACAGCCTAGTGATAACTTCACTGGCCACTCCTCAGATGGCTGCTAGAGATCCTTCCTGGGTTATGGCTGCCTAAAATCCAAACATTCAGTATCTCCTCCCTCTGCATGAACGTTCCTCATAGAGATTCATTGATTCAACTCATCTATATGAGGAGATGCTGATTGGCCAGGCCTGTGTTTGAATTGTGCTGGCTCTTCCCCTGATCTGCCTCCTTGTCAGTCTCAGCCAATCCTATGGGAAAGCATTGTGATTGGATCAGGCCAATACTTCTGATGATGTCACCAGACAGCTTGTTTTTCTGAGGCAAACAGCATCTACAGCTTGAGGCTTGAATACAAGTAAGATTTCTTTATTTAGGGAGGCATGAGGGGGCCATGGGTGCTAGATGGTGGTTTACCCTATAGGGTCAGGAATACATGTTTGTGTTCCTGATCCTAAAGTCAGGGCAGGACTGGCCCAACGGGATACCGGGAAATTTCCCGGTGGGCCGCGGCATCTGGGGGCTGCGCTGAGCATGTATGTGCCACCAGGTGGCCGGTCCGGTGGCACACACTCTAAGGGGGCCGGTAGGCCAGCAGCCGCATTCCACGCTGGAGCCGCCGAGCCGGGTGGCAGCCTTGCCGGTCTAGCAGCAGTCCTATCACTGTCACTAATGCTGAGGAGTGAAGGAGGAGGGAGGAGCATGTCTCTCTACCATGCTCCCTTGCGGTTCCCACAATTACCAGCACAGCATGTGCTTGGAATTGTGGGAACCACGAGGGAGCATGGTAGAGAGACATGCTCCTCCCGCCTCCTTCAGTGCTCACTCCTCAGCATTAGTGACAGTGACAGGAGTGCCGCCAGACCGGTGAGGCTGCCACCCGGCAAGACGGCTCCAGTGTGTAATGCGGCCGGCTCCCCTGACTCCTCTCAGATAAATGGGAGGGGAAGACGGGGAATAAAGAGACACAAGGGAAGGGGGAAAATAAAACAGAGGGGGAATAGACACGGGGAAGGAGGGAGAAAGAGACAGAGGGGGAAGAGTGAGACACAGGGGGAGAAAGAGGGGGAATAGAGAGATGGTGGAGGGAGGAAAAAGAGACAGAGGGGAAGAGCGATGTGGGGGGGAGAGACAGGGAAAGGGGGGGGAAGAGACAGAGGGGAAGAAAGAGACAGAGGGAGAAAGGAGAGAGACACACGGGAGGGGGACAAAGACAGGGGGAAAGGAGAGAGACACGCAAGGGGAGGGGGAGAAAGAGGCAGAGGGGGATGTGAGAGACTGGGAAGGAGAGGGGAGACATGGACACAGAGGAGCAGTGAGGGGGAGAAAGAAACATACAGCGTGACTGGGGGGAGACAAAAACGCACACAGAGGGCTGGAGATAAAGAGACACACATAGGGGCTGTATATATCACTGGTGGATCTGGGGGGAGGGGGGAGGCAACAGGGCAATTCCCCTCCCACCCCCCATGAGGCTCTCCCCTGCCAGCCGATCTCCCTCCCCGTTCCAGAGGCACACACATTGCCCCATACACACACATACACAGCCCCCCCCCATACACACATTGCCCCACACACCCTACACCCCTCACACATTGCACCACTGCTCCTATACCCTACTACAGCCCCATATCCCAGCAGACCCCAGGTAAGTTGTCAAACTGTTCTTAAATGGTTTGACTACTTGCTCTGGGAGGGGGTCCCGGCACTCCTTGCACCATAACCATTACACAGAGCAGTATGCCGATTATATTTATACATATATTAATGTACATTTATACATGCATAATACACAGATAAATGTTATTAATATGTACCATATGTAATGAGCAGATATTGGCCCAGTCTTGGTAGGTGCATACTCCATCACAATAACATATTTAAAGTGAAGAGCGCACCCACAGGACTCCAAAATAAACAAGATAATGTAATTTTTTACAGTTGTGCCCTAAATACATTCATCATTTCAGTCACATTACCAAGCTTTCCTTAATATGTCAAGGTAGTTGGACTGAAACATTGATTACGTGCCATCTGCTTAAAATAAATCTGCACTTTTGTTTATCTTGAAGCCTATGAGTGCTTTTTTTCGTTGGAGTAATAATTTTTAATTTTAAGTTCTCTTTTCTAACTCTGTACCTGCACACTATGCTGGCGAGACGCATTATGGGGCTGTAAATATTTTTTTTCCAGGGCTGCTTTTAATTCCCAGTCCGGCCCTGCCTATAGTGCTCCTTTAAGTGTAGTTTACTGTGCAACCTAATGTGAACAATGAATATATCTGCAGATAGATACTGTATGATCAGCTGTATTATTTAAAATAAGTATGTATATATAGGATTTCCAGATGTTGCTGTGTAGTAGACTTAACTGGCCGTAAAACTGAACCAATGAGAAGACTGATTTGTGGACCAAGTTTAGTTTGGGAAAGGACGTGATAGAAGCTCATGGAGTTTAAGAAGTTTTTTTTTGCTCACATTTGCAGTAGTCCTGGTTAGAGCTTGGGTTCCAGGTGGGAGTTTTGCAGTGTCCGGGGTGGTGAGTGTGACAGTAGTTGACACAAGGGTCCCAGCAGTGAGGGTGGTCGCTCTTCTGCACCTTAACTGATACAAAAAAAAAAAAAAATTAATTACGAGAGAGATAGAGACAAATAATGAGAAAATAATGCCATTGAGTGTTTAAGTAGACATCACATTAAACCACAAGACTGAAAGTCCAGTGGTTTATAAAGGTCTCCTGAACCCTAAATTGACAATAGTCTCAGGACGACAAGGTTGCCATCACCTGTCGTGTCGAGTCCAAGCGATGTAGTGACAGACCATTCCATTTCAAGATTTTTCCCTTTTGTTTTATTATAAACATCATCATTGAAAATTCCATACACAAAAACATAGAACTGCAATCACACTGCAAGGCAAGTGGTTTTACTCTGAAAGGGTTAAGCAAGCTACTTTTATCCTCATGTCCTTCCCGGCAGTTGGAGAAATCAGCCACATAGGATAAAGCCCCCTCCAATCCCAGACAGCGTTACCACATTTTACACTGCTCCAACCTTGCCCTGTCAGATAACAACCCTTCACGGCTGAAATCCTCTGAATGAAGAGCATTTTTTCCTCTGCAGACAGTCTGCAGGCAGCAGAGCTTGACCTTCACCTAGTCCAGTTCTTTATTACAAATTTCGATGTAGACAACTTGGGCACACTGTGTCTGAATTAACACACTTTCCTCACAAACTCACTGACCAGTCTCCGGGGGTCTCAGAGAAAGGCGACTGTGGTGGGCTGGTAGGATTTCAAGCTTCACATTCTCTGTCGTGCTTGCAAGAAGTTGGGTGGCTTCCATCAAAGAACAATGCTCCGTACTGGTTCCATCAATGGAAAGGATGTGGTCCCCTGGATGCAATGCTCCAGATCTACAGGCAGCAGAATTGTAGAACATTAAAAAGGTCAAGTAGACTTTTTTTTTTTTCTAGTTTAACAGTAAAATCAGAAAATCTAAAATTTGGCAATGAGAATGGAATGCATAGAAGAAATAGTAAAAATATAAAAAGGGTGGCCTGGGTGGACATGTTGTACTGAAATAAAAACAAAGAAGGACATGTGTGAAAATAGGCATTATGCAGTAATAATGTTATGTGATACATAAGAAGTGGTTTTTTTTAAAAAAAATATACAAATAAAACCAGCTCACATGCCCACAGACCTGACCTTCCAACCTTATTCCCTAACTATCTGTACTGGCAATAAAGCACTTGCCCTCTGGCATACAAATTGGGTCGAATACAAAACTTGTTATATCTGGTCTCTCTGGGTATAGCCACTTCTATTCAGGACTCTAAGGCAGTCTCTTATTCTTCATTAAAGAGAACTTTTACAATTAATCTTAAAAGGGACATTATAGCCACCAAAATAACTTTAGCTTAGTGAAGAAGTACCTGCAGATGTTAAAGGAACACTCAAGGTACCAAAACAACTCCATCTAAATTAAGTTTGGTACCAATAGGTCCTTGGAGGTACTCTTTTCTTGGACGGTTTAACCCAAAAAGTTGCATCCAGCGGTGAGGTCTACTCCCCCATCCGACTTAAGAATTTTCAGATTCAGGAAGCGTGGAAGGATTGTGGGGGAGCCGGATGAGGGCAGTCAACTGATGCTTTGGGGTTAAACTGTTGGAGAGTGAAGTTGTTGATGCCAGGAGTGTCCTTTTAATATGCTTAAGAAGATTATATGTAATTTTAACTGTAATCACCCATAAGAGGCTCCTGTAGGTTCTAGATAGCTATTAACAGAGCAGGAGATATGAAATTCTAAATTAAACAGACGGTGCAATTAAGGAAGTGTAAACATTAAATGACTGTTTACAAGAAGTGTTTAGGAATGCTGTGCAAGTCACATGCAGGGGCATGATCTATACATCAAAACGGCTTCATTAAGCTAAAGTTATTTTGGTGACTATAGTGTCCCTTTGAGGAATTGAAAAGAGAAAAAAAAACTAAAATAAATAAATTACACTAAACTGCTTATTAGAGTAAAGGGCAATTATACTGTATAAAGCATTTCGAACCTTAGCAGCCAAATCAACATTTAAGCTGGCTGCAATGTAGTAAACCTAGTTTACATCTTCAGCTCGAAGGTAAGCCACCAACTTATAAATACTAATATTTTACCATTTAAAACAGGCTCTGCATGTAACATTTTTATTACAGGATGGAGCAGCTGTTCAACTACTAGTCTAAAGATCCTGAGAAAGAAGGGACTCAGGATTGTAGTTCAACAGCAGGTAACTATAAGTGCCTTTCCTCTGAATCCAGTTGCATATTGGACTCAAATGAGGTAGTTGTGTAGAGTACCAAATACATGCCAACATTTGCCTCTGTTTATAGTTGGAGTCCACTTCTCCAACCTTATTAGTATATTAGGAAGGATGAAATATATGTCATTTATGTCTAGAGGATAGGAAATCAGCCTGAGAGACAAGCAAGTAGCAGTACAAAACTGATGAGACTGAAGTTCTGCACCACACCCACCTGTCTACCACACTGGCAGGTTTGACTTTGTCGATGATTATAACTTGCTTATTTCGGAGTGTGCCACTGCTCAGAGAAATGCCCAATGTGGAGCCAGGTGGTTTGGCTATTTCCACAAGAAGAGGTCCGGAAGCATTGGTCACGGTGTCTGCAGGGAGCAGAGGACGACAGGTTACATACAAGTTACTCAAAACAAACCCGGAGAGACACTGTTCATACAATAAAATGCAGAACAATCATTTTGTGAAGCTCTGCAAGAAAAATATTTAAAAAGAACTATTGATCTGCAAATGCAATCAGAATCGATTAGTCTGAAGCAATTAAAATGTGGTAAAAGACTTCGGCTACCATAATTATAAGGCAGTAGCTTGTTCTCCAGCAGAATACAAAGGTCAGGCAAAACAAAATTTCTAGATCTATTGAATATGACCTCTCTAGTACACAACAAAGTAACTACAACAAACACAGTACTCAATGGGGTTTATTAACCCAATCACTACTAGAATAGAGTGTAAACATTTTTATTTTCATTTATTTCGCAGTATGACATTTAATCAAAGCGTCCCTCACCACTATACTCTAGAAATGATTATCAGCCTGCAGATAAATTAATTTATCTGCCAGAAGCCACTAGTCACTGATGATGCTTGCAAGTGTACTGAAAATCTAAGCACATCCCTACTTTCAAACAGTCCAGGAAGTTTGAATGGGTCATATCATTCATACAGTTAGGGCGAAGAAGGAATGGATGGAGTATCAATCTCTGGTCTGG